TTGTGTCTAAATAACTCTAAAAGCTTTGAAAAGAAACATTATATTTTTATGTCACTATTGTTTACTGGAAATATATGAGCAAAGAAAACATTTTAAATCCTCTAGTAAGCATGTTAAAAATATAAAAAGGAACAGGTGAAATTAATTTTAATAATATATTTTTATTTAAACCAATATATCTAAAATATCATTTCAACTTGTCATCAATATAACAAAATTATGCAGATATTTTACATTCATCTTTTCATAATAGTTCCTAGAAATCCAGGGAATACTTTTACACTTCACATCTCAATTCTGAGGAGCCACATTCCAAGTGTTCGATACCCACGTGTGGCTATGATTGGGAAAATGAGGCACTTTGGGGGGACTAGCAATCTGAAGCTGTACCAGTAACCTAATGCACATTCCTGTTAGCCTATAGTCTAGTCCAGGGGTGGGCAAACTTTTTGACTTGAGGGCCACAGTGGGTTCTTAAACTGGACCGGAGGGCCGGAACAAAAGCATGGGTGGAGTGTTTGTGTGAACTAATATAAATTCAAAGTAAACATCATTACATAAAGGGGTAAGGTCTTTTTCTTTTTTAGTTTTATTCATTTCAAATGGGCCGGATCCGGCCTGTGGACCATAGTTTACCCACGGCTGGTCTAGTCACTGACCCTTCCTTAATTATCTGATCTTGCAAGACCTGTTTACCTAAGAAGTCCCATTTTACAGAGGTCATAAACCATGAACAATACACAACCCCAGAGGGGGTTGTCAGCACTGGCTCCAGGCCAGGCTTTAGGTGTGGTCTCACGCCCCCCATCCCAACACATGGGGCTTTTTGCAAAGCCCACAAAAGGTCCAGAAGTCTCATCCATATTCGGGGGACAAAGAAACCAAAAGGGTATAAAGGGAGAGCTTCCTCCATATTGGTTTGCTCAAGATTTGGAGAGAAACAGCCTCCAAAGTCACTGTACTAGTACATGTGGAACATCTGAAAATAAGTGGGTTTTTCCTGTAACTCCAGTACTCTTGAGTATTTTTCTGTCACCTGGTAAATTCTGTAACAGCTCGTGGCAGCGTGTTTGATACTGTGCCCCTAAGTGAGGTGTAAGACTCACATTACAGTTCAATTAACAGCAGTTTTCTCTGTATTGATGCAAAAAGAAGGGTGCATCTTATACCTGATGTCTTAGATTCAATGAACTAGGATAGATTTTTACCTTGTGTTGGAAAGAGAATTTGAGATAAAAATTAAGTTTTATTATGGGAAAAAATGGAGTCACATTTCTTACACATCCCTCTGTAGTACATCTGAGAGTCCTCCAGACACCAGCTCTGAGACTCACTCTCTGAGCCCTACAGGGGGCAGCAGCAGCAACTGCTGCTGGCTCTTCCCCTGCTGGGGCCCCAGGGCCACCAGGGCCTCTGCAGGTCTTCCTAGTGTGTCCAGGGCCCCCTGGGCTCTCTCAAACAGCTATCCTAAATGAGAATAAGAGCAGTTCAGAGAACCCTCCCCAATCTCTTGTGTCAGCATTGTTTTCAAAATAGCCACAGGGCATGCTGCTATTCTAAATCCAATCTTGTGAATATCGGAAGTCAGCAATGACAAGAAGATGTATTTTCGATCGGTATTGATTTTTCTCTTACTTTGACTTTTGTGATCAGTTTCTCAGCTTGTGTTGCATTTTTCAACGTCAGCACTGTTTTTTTCCTCCAGCATGATACCGTTTAGTGAGGACAGCAGCTGGGAGAGAGCTGATGAATATCCAAGGAGCCGTGCCTGCTTTCTCTAAGCCATCTCAGCAGTACTCTACATCCTGCTGTGGCAAACAGTGACTGGCTTCCAGTAACAAGATAAAAATTGTACTTGACTGACACATGCAGTTCAGATACATTTCAATGTTCTGGGAATTTAGAAAACTTGAAAAGCCTGAGTTCTCTTTTAATTTCCATAAATTTCAAAACTTAAAAATATGAAAGTATGATTATCCTCCAAAGCTGAGCTGGAGTATGGGATTTTTGAGTATTGGAGTAGTACCTCAGGGAGGGGCTGTTTTCAAAAGCCTAGTTTACTGGTCCCAAAAGTGAGCGCTGAAGGCAGTCGAGGACTGCAAGCTTGGGCTTGTCATTTCCTAGATGTGTGACCAACGGCAGGCTGATGAATTAACTAACTTAACTTCTCTGACCCAACTTCCCTGGAGCTAAGATAACTATCCACCTGGACAGTGGTTTTGTGAGGTCTACACGCACACTACCTAAGGCTTGCCTAAATGGTACTCAGCGTTGGCACACCTTTTCTGTGAAGGGCCAGGTAATACATATTTTAAGCTTGGGGGGCTCTAAGGTCTCTGTCACCACAGCTGGACTGTGCCTTGTATGTGGTAGTCAGAGACAACATGGAAACAAACGAGTATGGCTGCTTGCCAGTAACACTTTTATGTACCAAAACAGGCTACGGGCCATGATTTGCTGCCCCTGCAACAGGCAAAGAGGAGCCAGCGGAGGGTTAGTGTCCTGAGTTAATGTAAAAAAAAAACCATTGAAACTTGTAAAGAATTTCTGTGAGTTTGCCAGGAAGCAGAACCTCAACGGATTGAGATAATGCTCCGGAGAATGGCGGGTTACATCTGTATTTATACATTGCAGTTAAAGGAGGGACATAGGTGGGTTACATGAATTTCACTGGTGATAGATTAAGGAGGTGGGATAAAAATAAACGGGGAGGGGGGGAACCCCTGGGATTGGATAAAAAGTAAAATGATAGACACATACTTAGGTGGGTGCAGGAACAATTAACATGATAATGAAGGAATTTGTGGTATCTGTCCTGACGCCCAGCACATTTGGTTGTGACCCAGGGGGTACAGAAAAAAAGGAAGTTACAAGTTCCCAGACACTTCAAGGGTATGTTATCATAGATGCAAAAAGACAGACTCAGTTAAAGTAAAGGTTGACCTTGTCAGTGAAGATACCGGCCTAGGACATAACTGCCCACCATAACTGCTTTCAGTTAAAGTTTAATTTCAGGCCATTCTCTGTGGTTACTTTAGGTCTCTGAATTTGCAAGACTGCCAGGCAAGCCTCCCCTGAGCTTGTCAGATCAGCATGTGGTCCCTTTCGTCCACAGGTGTAAGACTTACATAACAGTTCAATTACAGCAGTTTTCTCGGTAATGACGCAAAAAGAAGGGTGCATCTTATACCTGATGTCCCTGCCAGGTCTGTGTACCAGGGGTTATAGAGCACAGACTTCAGTGTATAGAGCTGGGTCAACAGATGAGACTTTAGTATGAGGCAGTTTGGTTTCTGAATTAATGAATTTGACATGCAAATGGCACTCATTTCTTACTCTTTCTCACTGCAGCCTTCCTTTTCCATATCCTTTTCTTCACTCCACCTCCTTCCCCTTGCTTCTCCTTCATGTCTTTGAGTGCTGCCTCAGGTACTTCCATTTGAATGCAGAGGCTGTGCATCTGTGCAATCCAGGGGCCCAAGGGCCCAGGTCCCAGGTCCCAGGTCCAAGGGCAGGCCCTCCCAGCTGCTGGCTGCTCTCCGAGTGAGGAGCAGCTTCCTTTAAGAGTTCCATCTCAGGTCCTTCCCTAACCAGCCCAACGAAGCCTGGGTTTTAATTATGTAAAAACAAGCAGTCATCTTCTTTTTGGAAAGAAAGATGGCGATAACGAGAAGGTGGAGTAACCCTCTGTGATTCTCTGAATTGCCAGCTGCTCGCATCAGTCCTCACATCAGACACCCACGCTCCCCTTCAAGGATTCCTTCATATTCTAACCCAAAAGCACAAATGCCCGGGAATTTCTTTTTAGGAGCCTAATTAACTGACTTTCCTCTCTCACGGCAAGTATGAAAATAGCAAGGCTAATTTGACATTGCAGTGGATGGAGGTGAATTCGCTGCCTACAGACTCCCCTCTAATAACTTATTAATTTAAATAAAATTTTGATGTAAAGCCCTGTGGAACTGGGAAAGTCCCCCAAGGCAACAAATTAATCACAATGCTGGGTGAAGTCAACATCAGGATATGATAGTCTATCCTTGCCTTTTCTGCTTGGCTTTGCTGCAACTGCTCCCCAGCGCTATGGTGTTAGGCCCTGGAGGAAGCCCAGTGTGATGCTCATAGTTGGAGGCATGATGTTGTTGCTTCTTCCACAACTTCTAATCAGATTTCAGCTTCCTGCCTTTTTTCTAGGATGGCTCATTATTTGCTACTCACTCATCTGCATGTGCAACTTCTACAAATGAAAACAGAGAAATTCTTAGACAATTGAAAAAATCTTTTATTTACAAGAAAAAGTCTGTACATTGTGTATACATAAAAATATACAAAACCAAAATAGAAAATATCAAGACCTTAAAATGTGTACAAACACCTTTAAAATGTAACCCCTGGAAACCTCAAGCCTTAGTTTGAAGAGCACACATTTCATTTAAAAATTGTCATACAAAAAAAGTCCCAACACTGTTAAAAAAGTTCACTGGTTTCCACCAGAAAAGTTTCCTAAGTTTATCTAGGATAAACAGAATGTGTGATATTATAAATGTTATGTCTTAATGCTACCAGTACAGTTAATTTGCTTGAAACCTACCTAATGAGAAGATTCTTTTCCATAGAACCAATAAATGTTTCTTCCCTGAATCTTGTAAAAGCCATGAGTTGTCAACTTCTTATCAAACTTCAGAGTGACATTAGGCTGTCTTCAGGTCATGGGTTCACCTTCACAGTGATGTTTAAATATGTCCACTATACTTTTTAATGTAGCCAGGATGTGTAAAGTATGGGTGTGTGGAAGACTAATTTTTTTTTAACAGAAGGACAAATAACATTTGCTTCCTTCTCTTAAAAACTTGGTATTTGTGCCCTAGCCAGTTGCTCAGTGGTTAGAGCATTGGCCCACAAACTGAAGGATATGTTTCTCTCATATTAATGTTTCTCTCTCTTGTCTTTCCCTCTCTCTTCCATTCTCTCTAAAAAATCAATGGAAAAATATCCTCGGGTGAGGATTAGCAAAATAAAACAACAACAACAACAACTAGTGTTTTCATAATTAAAATAGGATGTATTACAAAGGTTTCGAGATAAAGTTTGATGAAAAAAGATAATATAAATCCAACCATGTATGTAGATATGTGTATATACAATTATATAACTATATTCATATGCACACTTTTATAACAGGAGTGAGAACTAATTCTTTAAATTCCACTGGCCCAAACTTGTAGAGGAATATGCTGGATTATTTTTTCTTACTAAAAGGCTTCACTCATTCAATAAAACAAGAACCAGCACTTACATTTTATCCTTGAATTAACAGAAATACCTTTCATTTCCCAATTGTGTAAAGTCCCAGTGACAAAAAACATGCAAAATGTTTTTCACAATAGAAATATCCAGAGTATACAAACAAATTTGAACTCAAGCACATTTTATGCAAGCAATTCATTTCTAAATGCAGCTGCCTTTACCAGCTGTGCAACCACTGGGTAGAGCTCTAAACTACCAGAATGTGAGAAGTCACACAGATAGTGCGGTAGAGCATATGCAGAGGCTATTGGCCTATATATTTAGTCATGTATTTCTCCATAATCCTCCCACTTCCTCTCCCGTTTCTTTCCATAGCTAAGCAAAAATGAGCCAGGTGACTTTGGCCACCAGCCCAAACATGCACTGTGCCATGTGTCTCCGGAGACCTGAATCCAGTCATCTGTGCAGACATCACATACCGTGACGTGTGTGAAGCTGACCCCACCTACACCGAAATTCTCCCATCACATACCATGATGCATATGAGGCTGAGTCCACCTACATATAAAATCCTCCTGTCACATCCCATGGCACATGTGAGATTGATCCCACGTAAGGTGGCCCAATGGGACCTGGTTAATTCTGTGATGGAAGTGCTGCCACCGAAAAGGGTTATTTCTTGAGAAAAGCAGCGCTGAATGGACTGAGGGGAGGGTCAGACTCACAGGGCCAGCACTGCCTTCCATGGACACAGAACTCTCTATCTGCTACACCTTACCCTCACACCTGGAGGGACTGGTGAAAGGAGGTAGGGAGAATCTAGATGAAGGTGAGTTGTCATCCTTTGCCAACAGTTGTTTCTTTGTGATTACAACAACAAAATCAAAAAAAGATCAAGTGAAAAGATCATGAAATATCAATAGCAATGTGATCTTGTTCATCCTGAGAGTGAAACAAGGGACCAGTGGCCTCGGGTTGCACTATGGGGACTTGATCAGTGTCCCTTCACAGAGGAGGATGGAGGGTTTAGAAGGGGCAGGACCTGGAAAAAATGCAGTGGGGCACCGTTTATTATCAACTATGCCACAAAAGGCCTGTGTGCTTTACTGCAGTGCATATGTAGTCTGTAAGGACTTAATCAATGTCTGGCCAAATACTGCACTTAAGACCCATTTGGCTAATCCTCAAAGCAGTCATCATGCTAACTCCAACTGCCTAACATTTTGAGAGGCTAAACAATTTAAACTTCTAAATTGAAGAATGCCCAGCCCATGCTATATTAATATGTGTACCACATTTTTGGAATGTTTAACAAATCCCAAGAGTCATCCCAAGAGTGATTCCCAAGAGTCAAGACCATAATAAATTCAAAGATTTTAATTAAACTTCCTCTATATCCTTCAATCTTTCTTATCATTTCAGTGAGATAGAAAGCACTTTTTAAAAGTATATGCGTTACAACATAATGCAATTTAAAAATCTTTGAAGTGTTTTCTGGGGCTTTGGAACTTGAGTATTTACATTGACCCAATACATTTTCCTCTAACCAACCTCTCCAGCCATCCAAGGGGGTTGTTCTGGTGACAGGATGTGGTAAGGGCTCATGAGGACGACTGGGGAACCTCCATTCTCTGCATGTGAGGGCAGAGCCAGGGGGCTGGGATCAGGACTGCAAGAAGACTGCTGGCTGCACCAGCGCTACTTCACCAGCATCCAGCATCACTGAACCCATGACCCACTAAACATGGGACAAGACTGAGCTCTTTCAGGAAATAAGGAAGAAAGCGCTTGATCAGGTCTACTCAGACATAAGCTAATGTGCAGAACAAAATTACCCATCCCTTCTCATGGATACAGAAACGAAGCTCTCACAGGGACTTTCTTGGACACTGCCACATTAAACTTGCAGTTACTTCACTATTACAGTAAAGATGTCTATAGGAGGCTTCTATCCATTTGGATTTCTGCTGAGATGAGCCAAATAGTCATCCGTTTCTGTAAATCACTCTTGCTCAAGAAAGCAGTCCTGAGAAGGCTCAGGAAAAAGCAATCTGGAACAAAAAAACTTTCCATAAAACCTCCTGCCATTCACACACTCTTGAGGGAGAATGCACTAATTAAACTGCTGCGGTCATTGCAAAGAAGTGCCAAACAGACCAGCGAAATATGTCTTGGTTGCATATTGAAATAATGCCATGTTAATTAAAGTATTTCAAATGTTCCTGTTCAACTATGTTCATATCAAAATCTGTTTTTCAATGTATGAGTGACCAAAGTTTAGATTAAGTAAAAAAAACCCCTGAATATAGCCAATGCATTGGGTGACCATTTCCCCTCCAACCGTCTTTCCCCTGAAGCAGATACATGTTTTCCTTGTTGCTAAAGAGCCACGCTTTCACACCATCTTATTTAACTATATGGCTTTGTTATGTTGCTGACATAAAACACATCTGTGAAAATGAGGACAGGATTCCTAAACGTCCATCTGTCCATCTGTAGGAAGAATTAGTATCAGGTTTCCAACAGCTGATACTAACCTGCAAGAAATCCTCATAAAAGACAAAGATGTGCATCCCAATAGCAGGGGGTTACTGCTCCAAAACCCCTCCTTCTGGGTTGGAAGGCACCCTCTCCCATAGGTGTGTCCTCACTGTCCTGTATATGACTAGGAAGGCCATGGGGAGGGCTGGCTGGTGAGAAGGTTCAAGGCAGAGTGCTGGGGCCAGGAAACATCCCATGCAGGGCTACCCTGCAGCCTCGTTACTCTGTGCTACTCACCAGTGCTGCTCCTTCCATATGGGGGATACTCCCAGTTGATAAGAAAATCCTGGAGGAAAACTACATCTCTGTGTGCTATTCTAGGCTGGATTGTTCTTGCCCTGCTTGACATGGATGCTCTATGGTTTCAGAAATGTGTCTTGACACAGAGCAAATCACTCGTGGCCGTGGGAAGCACAGATGGCGAATGCAATGGTTTGGAAACACAGGCACCTCACAGGAATCCTAAATTCCTGATATTAAAATAAACACAGCTGAGTGGCAAGTCAGATATTCGTCACAAACTCTAGAATCTTTTCTGTTGAATGTCCACACAAGTGACATGTGATGCTGCAAACACTTGCCTCAATGTTCGTGCTTCCAGGTATAAACCTTTTTTTAGTGTTGCAGGCATCAGCCCTGTCACTGACATCAGCCCTGATAAGCTGTGCCCACAGCGTGGAAAAAGCTTAGCAGTTCTGTTATACATTTTCTTTTCTCCCAGCTATTCTTTTTTGTGCATCTTTCTTGGTCTTTTTTCCCCTTTCAATTCCATTACTATATTCAAAGCAGCAATAAATACTCAAGGGCTTAAAAAGAGAAGAATTCTCGAGGCCCTCACTAAATTGCAGTTTAAAGACTCAAGACTACATTGCCTAAAATATATGTTCAAGTATTCTTTTGTGACTTAGAGCACAACAGTAGTACTTATTGCACATTGGTTCCCCAGAGTCCCTTTTCAAGAGTTGGGGGTGGGGCAGTGCACGGCCCGCAGCCCTGGCAGAACCACCTTGCCCTTGCGGTGCAGGTCCCCTTGGGCGCCAGTGTTCAGGCGCTGCACCAGCAGCTTCTCGTAGAGCAGGGGGTGGTAGGCCCCGAGTGTGCAGGCCGCGTCGTAGTACAGCTCGTGGTAGTGGCACAGCTCCGTCTGCCTGACGGACGGGAGGTATTCGTACACGTGCACCTCACTGCACAAGGACATCATGAGGAGGATTCCTGAGGTGGAAAGAAAATGGAACCCGATGAACTCCATGTGGGAAGTTCCTGTTGGCAGAATGGTGGGGAATGACGGTGACCAAAAAACATTGCTCCGCAGGCTTCCCGCTTCCACTGATTGGGTATACTGGTTCATGGGTGTGGGGCATATGAAGATATAATACTAGCCTGGCTTGTGTGGCTCAGTGGTTGAAAATTGACCATTGAACCAGGAGATCACAGTTTGATTCCTGGTCAGGGCACATGCCCAGGTTGTGGACTTGATTCTCAGTGTAGGGCATGTAGGAAGCAACCAATCAATGATTCTCTCTCATCATTGATGTTTCTATCTCTCTCCCTCTTCCTTTTTCTCTGAAATCATTAAGATATATAATCACTTATATTTAAAGATATTATACTAGCAGCCCTGGCCAGTGTCTCAAGTGGTTGGAGAATCATCCCCTACACCAAAAAGTTGTGGGTTCGATTCCCAGTCAGGGCATGTATGGAGGCAACTGATTGATGCTTGTCTCTCACATCAATGTTTTCCTCTCTCTCTCTCCCTCCCTCTCTCTCTAAAATTAAAAAATACATATCCTTGGGTGAGGATTAAAAAAAGATGTAATACTAGTATATATATACTTGTGCAATTGATTATTGTGGGACTGAAATTAAAACACAAAGTTACTGAACTTAGAGACCACAATCTAGTGAGTGACAGATCTGCATCCTGCAAGTCAGACTATCAGGTATCAGAGTCTACCCTCAGGTCCCACCTAATTTGCAATAGAACTGCTATGTTCCAAAGAAACATGTTACATAAAACTGATTATAAAATAACTGCTTGATTATAAATTAATATAAAATAGCTGTTTGAATGAGAAGAAATGGAGTTGTAAACAGAGAGCTTAAAATTCATATTAAAATGATTTTTTTCACTGAAACTGTCAGTACTGGAGTTGCTTTCTTTGTTTTACTGTTCAAATAGAGAGCTGTCACCCCAAATATCACTAAGCAAATGGAGTTTGTGGTCTAGGCCAACAGGCTTTCTTTTCCTAGAGCCACCTCGTTAACACCCTTTAAACATTAAAAAAATGTACACACTCCTTTCATTACAAAGGTATCCCTGCCATGGAAAAAGCAAAGTCACACAGTTAGAGGCCATATTTGTTTGCAGAGGATAACCATATCTCTAATTAATCAGCCCTGTTTGCACCATGAAAATCCCCACAACCAGAGAAAGTCCTGCCTAAGAGACACCAGGAGAGAAGAGAGAAGGGCCCGGTTTTGCCCAGAAGATGCAGAAAGCTTGCCCAGGGAGGGGAGGCCCGATCCTAAAGGGCGGCCTGCAGACAAGGGGTGAGAGGGAAACGGAAGAAGGGGTGCTACTGCCGAAGGACAACGGTACCTGCTTGGAAGACTCTGAAGATGTGAGCTGAGAGCCACAGTCCTGTGTTGTGGCTGAGAGTAAAGCACATTCCTAACAAAGAGAAGGTGAGTTGCTTCAACTTTGATGAAGCAGTTGCCCTCAAGAGCAAGGTTAAAACCCCCAGTTCCTCTCAGTCCTAGCGGTTTCCTCCTTCTGTTCCTGCTGCCCCACTGTGGCCCCTTCCTAGGGCTGGCGGAAAGTGACAGGCACTCAGGTGGGGCCCAGAGGGACCCACCACAGCAAGGAAAGCCTCTTCTTCCTGAAGCCGTGGAGGGGAGTGGGCACTATTCTGAGCCCGCACACCACGCAGGCGATGAAGTCTTGCCTCTTACTGCTCTATGGACATTTTTCTATTCCTCACAAAATCATCTATAAAGAACTGACACAGCAAATGAGAATGCCATGTGCCCAGGGAAAATTAAATTCTCCTTTATTCCCAGTTACTTTCAACCTGCAACAAACAAGAACCCGTGATGTGTATGCTTTCTCTCAATGAGGGCACAGGACCTGTGTCTGTGGAGAGAGAAGAGCTTCGGCATTTCCTAATCAGAGCTAGGGAACAAGTTCTTGGACATGGCCTCCCTGCACTGGCTGCCCTCCCGCCCTGGCTCTGGCCTGTGGTCAGTCCTACACATTGCCCACGAGTGCAGTATTACAACTTGCCTGCAGGTGGCAGTGAACAGGCTTGGAGGGAGTCTGTTCCCCAGGCGGTTCTGAGTGGCAATGGCAATGGCTACTCATCCATGGGGACTGCAAGCATCTATCCTAGCTGCTCTCTGCAATTCTGGTTCTAAAGTGTCAGTCAGTTTGTTGTTCCTCTTCCTAAAGCAGTTCTCACACTTCAGACTGAAGTGAATGGTCTGGACAGCTTGTTAAAATGCAGACTCCTGGACTTGTCCCCATTCCCAGAGATTTGGGTTCCAATGGCTTATGTTGAGGTTCAGAAAATGGAATTCTTAACAAGCATTCCTAAACTATCTGGTGAAAGCCATTTAGAAAGTCCCAGTCGATCACAGAGCAATACTTTTGTAAAATACAGTAACAATGAATTATTAGAGACACATATTTGGATGACATTTGGTGTCAAATTTCTATAAAAATATTTAAATACTTTCCATTTCCACAGTAATCTGGTTGTAGACCAATCACAAGCATTCCTGGTCCAGTGCTGGCCCACCACCCATGCTGGTCTAAGACATATACATTCTCTGAAAAAATCTGCTGTCAGGGATTCCCCAAGCTATCTCACAGGAGCCAGACATTCTACCTGCTGGGCAGTGGACACACCCAGGAGATCTTGGGGTAGGTTCCCTATACATCCTTATTGTCTGTTTTCTTGGTTTCAAAGGGCTACTAGGTGCTTGAATCTGATTTTTTTTTAAGTTTTTCAGAAAAGATTTTTAATCTTGCTGTGAGTTAACTACATTTCAAATCACATATTTGCTAAATATACAATACTAGAGGCCCAGTGCACAAAATTTGTGAACTGGTAGGGTCCCTAGTGGCTGCTAGCTGCCAGCTGGGGCCTCCCTCCCTTCCCCTGGCTGGCCCAGCCTCCTGGACACCATCCCGGACAACTCCCGGTGGAGGGGACAATTTGCATACTACACTTTTATTTTATAGGATAGAGTTTGTCATAAAACTAGACAAAATGTTATGGTTTCACTATAAGTAAATAGGTACATTTTAGCATTTTCATAAATGTTTTTGTTTATTTATTTTAATTTTTTTTTATTGATCTCAGAGAGGAAGGCAGAGGGAGAGAGAGATAGAAACATCAGTGATAAGAGAGAATCATTGATAAGCTGCCTCCTGCACACCCTACACTGGGGATTGAGCTCACAACCTGGGCACGTGCCCTTGACCAGAATCGAACCTGGGACCCTTCAGTCTGCAGGCCGATGCTCTATCCACTGATCCAAACAAGCTAGGGCAATATTTTACATTTTAAAATAACTTCTAGGGCTTCAGAAATACAGAACTTGCCAATTAGTTCATGACAGTCCCAACTGAAGGGCAATCAATGAAGGTTCAGAACGTGTGGCTTCTCAGCTGAGCATCTGTATAATTCCTACCTGACACAGTCTTAGCAACAGTGTTCCCTGTGTCATTCTGTACCCATATGTATGAGTGGCTTTCTGTGACTATGAGGTTTTGCCATGCACCCTAAAATTTATGTAGTAGCAGCATCAGCTCTGTTTAAATGGCAGCCAATGATAGTGAAATTAGAATGGCAGCACCTTCAATAGGAAAATTACATTATACGCATTGGGTACATGTAAAAGATGGACAAAATTTATGGTACCAAAGGTGGAGAATATTTTTATTTTAAATTATTTTTCAGGATTCCTGATCAATTCATTTAGCATGTGAAACATTTGAATTTATTAAGGTTGTTATTACATGTAAATTTGAGTTTAGATTCAGACTTCGGCATATAGTAAGTATTGAAAATCATTATTAAATGTTGCTAAATCTACACATTGGTGTTCCTAAGAGTTGTTAATAGGACTTAGTAATACACAAAACCCTGAAGATGGCATTTCTTCTGGCAAGTTCAGAGTATGTGTATCAGGGTACAGGGGGTGTGTGGAGTAAATTGTGGGGCAGTGAGGGTGGGGGGGGGCGGTTAGGACAGGACTAGAAAGACCAGAGCCCAGGTACTATTGGGAGATCTCTTCAATTGAATTCAACATTTATTAAATGGGGCACAGTACTAACCATTGAGGATTTAGAAAACATTTAAGGAAAAAAGAAATTAGCAAATTAAACTAAAGAAATAACCTTTAAATTAACAATAGGGGCTAAGCCCATAACCTAAAACTCTAAGAATGACTTGAGGAAAGTGTCTTAAACATTGTGCTGGGGAAAGTGTTGGGCACCACACCAGCCTCTCCGCTCAGGTGCTGAGATGCTGATCCCCGTTGTCCAGACATGACAGCCACCACCAATAAGATTCCAGGTCGGGAATCTCCACCTAACGCCTGGGCTTTATGACTGTCTGTGGGGACTATATAAGCCAGGATACAAGGCAAAATCAGCAAAGGAAAAGCCACAGGGGGAGAGAAATCCAGGGGATCCAGGGGGAGGCTTCTAGAATACTGTCTGAGTGGTCGCACAGGATTACTCATTATCCCAGCAACACATGTGAAATGTTGCCAACCAGGAAAGCTTCTTAGAGAACCAGTACTCAAGGTTAACACCAGGAGCTAGCCACATAGGCAGGCTCTATCTGGTGCAAACCAAAACTCCAGACTCGAAGGAGGAAAGCAGGTGAGCCACACTGCTTGCACAGAGTGAACGATTCTTATCTTACCAGTTATGACAGTGGGAACCCTCCCCAAATCCAAGTCCCCAGATGCCAACCTTGTACAAGGCCTTTATGGAGCAGCAGGCAGGCCTTCTATGCACAGATACTATATATATATAAATTCAAAGTATCATGTGACTTCGTAAATCATTTCCCCATCCCGTATTGACACAGGGAATTAAAATCTGCTGATGATACAAATATTTCTACTATTTCTTTCATTTCCTCTCTTATGACTGTTCAGGATTATCCAAAAAGCAAGAATACAAACCATCTGATACT